AAACAAACTTGTGTGATCTCACTCTTCCTGCCTCGTGTGCCACATTCCCTTCTTGCTCACCATATTCCTGCCTTCTTCAGCCACTCCAAGGCCCCACTTCAGTCACTTCGTGGCCTCAGGGCCTTTGAACATGCTGTTCCCTCAACGTGGAAAACGCTTCCCGCTCTGTGTGTGATGGCTCTATTCATCCTTTGCTCTTAGGTTAACTGTCGTATCTTCAGAGAGGCCTTTCATGACCACCCAATCCTAAGAAAATCTCCATCATTCTCTCTCAATAGCGCCCTGTTTTCCTGTCTATCATAATTATACTTGATTTTATTTCTCTCTTTTGGGGGTATTTTACGACTTGCTCTTTAGATGGAATCCTCACAGGAGAAATTTTTATTTAGGACTTCAATGAAGTTGGAAAAACAGGCTCTATCATTACAGAGGCAACTATGATTTCAAGTAAAGTAACATAGGCTTTATATTTGCCAGCATTTCATGGTTTCCAATGTGCCCTTATTTGCATAATTCCTATTTTTCCCACAGGACTGGAGGCTTTGCTGTAAGCACAGTGCCTCCTCAGAGTGGGCTCTCGCAATGTTAAACAGCAAAAACCCCTTATCTTTTCCTAATATCAAATATCATCATGATAATTTTTAAATAAACTATTAATATTATATACATCTAGAAAAGTGAACAGATTATAAGCACACCATCTATAGATATATATCCATGCTGCTGCTACCCAGATCAAGAAATGGAACATTTCCAGGATTCTACAAGCTCTTTTGACCTCCTCCTTTTTGCTACTGCTGTCCTCAAAAATCACCACTGTGTTAACTCGTAAATATCAGAGGACTTTGGCCCTTATTTGAGCTTTATAGAAATGGAATCATACACGGTGCACTGCTCTGCGTCTGGCTTCTTTCGTGATTGTGAGAGTCGTTCATTTTGTTGCATGTAGAAAGAGTTAATCCATTTTTATCATTGTATCATATTCCACTGTCACCTGGCTGTGAATTGTTTTCACTTTAAGTTTTTCTAGTGAGTTTACTAGTGCAATCTCATTGTAATTTTAATTTCCATTTCCCCGATGACTAATGAGATTGAGTGTCTTTTGTGACTGACTGCTAAACATCTTTTGCCCATTTTCTACTAGAGTTGTTCCTTTTCTTATTGATGAATGGAGTTGTTTGTATATTCTGGATAGGAGTGCCTGTGTTTCTTTTGGTTCTGCATATTGCAAATAATCTGCTCCCACGTTGAGGCATGGTTTTCCCTTAATGGGGAACTATTTCCTTAATAATATCTTTTGATAGAAAGAAGTTCTTAATTTTATCATGGTCTAATAGAATCAATATTTTCCTTTACTGTTAGGGCTTTTGGTGTCCTATACAGGAAATCTTTTGCCTAACCCAAGGTCATAAATAGAATACAATCTCATAGGTTATCTTCTAGAACAATGCTACTCAAAGCATGGCCCACGGAATAATAACAGTCTGCAAAATGTTTGTTACTGGCTTATGACGAGATAAACATATTGAGAGCAAGTGCTAAGAAACTTTTATAGTAATTTGACAGTTATGACATCCAAGCAGCATTTGATTGAATTTTACTAAAGTATCAGTCTGTGATGGATTAGAATGTTTTTTAAAAAGATCATTCACCACAGATATTTTAAAATATTATTTTCAAACTTTTCTTTGGTAATAACTTCACATTTAGATCTACAAACCACATAAACTTAATTTTCATGTCCAGTGTAGAAAGAGGTGAAAATTATTTTTTTTTTCTTTTCGCCCACGGTTTTGCAGTGTAATCTTTGCCACAAACCAAGTGTCTGTATAAATGTGATTCTGCTCTGGCCTCGAATTCTGTTCCATCAACTCATTTGGCTGTTTGTGCAAATACCACGCAATCTTAATTATTGTAGCTTTATAAATCTCCCTATCTGGTAGGATATGTCTTTCAACTTTATCAATCTTTTTCAAGACTGTCCTGGTTATTCTTTACTTCTGGCGTTTTTAATACATATTTTCCCACACATTTGCAGTATACTTTATTATTATTATTACTATTTTTGAGACAGAGTCTCGCTCTGTTGCTCATGCTGGAGTCAGTGGCAAGATCTTGGCTCACTGCAACTTCTGCCTCCTGGGTTCAAGTGATTCTCCTTGCCTCAGCCTCCAGAGTAGTTGGGATTATAGGCATGCACCACCACACCCGGCTAATTTTTGTATTTTTAGTAGAGACGTGGTTTCACCATGTTGGCCAGGCTAGTCTTGAACTCCTAACCTCAAGTCACCCACCCACCTCAGCCTCCCAAAGTGCTGGGATTACAGGCATGAGCCACCGCACCCAGCCTGCAGTGTACTTTAGAATTAGCTTGTCAGCCTCCACCAAAAAACTTGCTGCAATTTTTAAAATGTGATTGCAATGAATTTACAGACTGATATTGTTTATTACACATTCAAAGTATTTTTTATACATTCAAAGTATTATACATTAAAAAAACTTCCATTCAGTATTTTCTATTATTTCATAATAATGTTTTGTGCCTGAATGCTGAAAGTATCAAATCTATATTTGGTCTGATTTTAAATGCTCCTCCATAATTAGATGGATCTTATTATGTCTTTGTTGTTGTTGTTGTTGTTGTTTTTACACTGATCCTTCTGTACAAGCAAGAAGAGCCTCCTAACAATTTCACACTGTGTTCATTCTCATTCTCTCTTCTGTGCTTTTCCACACACATTTACATTTATAGTGCCTCCTACCCACTCCTGTTGCCATTCCAAATTTTCAAACTGTCTCCTCAAAGTCCTGGTTAGATCTCGTTTAACCTACTTTCCACCAAATGTAGCCCACAATCAGATTTCTGTTTTCTGTCTGATGTGTTGGTAGCTCTCACCAGCACTACCTCATTAAATCTCAGTGGATTTGACCGACCAGGTGCACACTGAAGTTATCAGCTTCCATTTAAAACTCACAATGTTCTAAAATAGCTCTCTGAATGTTCTGCAGTCAGTAACGAAGGAATTAGGAAAATCTGGAACTGTTCACTTAAATCTTTTTTTTATTTTTTTGGGGGACAGTCTCGCTCTGTCGCCCAGGCTGGAATGCAGTGGCAGGATCTCAGCTCACTGCAAGCTCCGCCCCCTGAGTTCAAGCAATTCTTCTGCCTTAGCCTCTCAAGTAGCTGGGACTACAGGCACGCGCCACCATGCCCAGCTAATTTTTGTATTTTCAGTAGAGACAAGGTTTCACCATGTTGGCCAGGCTGATCTTGAACTACTGACCTCAAGTGATCCACCCGCCTTGGCCTCCCAAAGTGCTGGGATTACAGGTGTAAGCCACTGTGCCCAGCCTCACTTAAATCCTGTTAGAGGCAGTCCTCTCCGCTCATGCTTGAGTTTACTCTTAAAGGTGAGTGGACATTTTTGGAAGGTAGCTAGAGTTTTTAACTTAAAGATCTAGCAGCCATGCTCAGGAGGCATGAAATTTTCCTTTGGGGCCATAAAAATGTTTTGGAACCAGAGACAGGCGGTGGTTGTACAACATTGTCAATGTACTAATACCACTAAATTGGACAATTTAAAACGGTTAATTTTATGTAATGTGAATTTCACCTCAATTAAAAAAAAATTCAGCCATCAAATATGTCTTCAGTCCCATAACTCTGAGTATAAGAGCTGGTGGCCATCAGCTACCTGACAATATATGCTTCAAGATAAGGAGAAAGAGATGAAATGCATGCTTCTGGGTTTCTGATTTGCAATTGCAAACTTGGCATGTGTATGACACTTACGTAGCTTAGAGAAGTTCTACGAGCTTCTCTAACATAAAAACTCTTTAATAGCAAGGGTGAAAAGAAACACAGACCTTATGTTATGTGAATTTCAGAACTATCTACATGAACATAATATTTTTTTTGTTGTTTTTTTTGTAGGGGATGGAATCTTTCTCTGTCACCCAGGTGCCACCTCGGCTCACTGCAACCTCCACCTTCCAGGTTCAAGCAATTCTCCTATCTCAGCCTCCTGAGTAGCTGGGACTACAGGTGTGTGCCACCACTCCCAGCTGATTTTTGTAGTTTTAGTAGAGATGGGGTTTCAGCGTGTTGACCAGGCTGGAATGTTTCCTTTTCTTTATTTTTTTCTTTTTTTTGAGATGGAGTCTCGCACTGTCGCCCAGGCTGGAATACAGTGGTGTGATCTCGGCTCACTGCAAGTTCCGCCTCCCGTATTCACGCCATTCTCTTGCCTCAGCCTCCCAAGTAGCTGGGACTACAGGCACCCACCACCACGCCCGCCTAATTTTTTCTATTTTCAGTAGAGACGGGGTTTCACCGTGTTAGTCAGGATGGTCTCGACCTCCTGACCTTGTGATCCGCCCGCCTCAGCCTCCCAAAGTGCTGGGATTACAGGCACGAGCCACTGCGCCTGGCTTTTCTTTTTTTTTTTTTAAGCCTACAGCACCTGGTATTCCTGGGCAGTCTCCCATCCAAGTACTAACCAGGCCCAACCCTGCTTCACTTCCAAGATCAGATGAGAGACCACATTTCTTCCCATATTCTATTTTAGTTGTTACATATATGAAAAAACAAAACAAAATAACCACAGAGCTCTGTGTCCTATTTATCACTGAGCTTAGTGTGGCAACACATGTCCCCAAAGCACCAGATGCCCACGATAATAAGTTCGCAATGACAGAGGGCTTAACAGTCAGAACAACAGCCACAAGTCAGCTCATGAACTGCATTCAAGCCTTAAAATGAAATCTGTAAGACAGCCAGGTGTGGTGGCTCAGCATGTAATCCCAGCACTTTGGGAGGCCAAGGTGAGTGGATCACCTGAGGTAAGGAGTTCGAGACCAGCCTGGCCAACATGGTACAACCTCATCTCTACTAAAAATACAAAAATTAGCCTGGCGTGGTGGCAAGCACCTGTAATTCCAGCTACTGGGGAGGCTGAGGCAGGAGAATCGCTTGAACCTGAGAGGCGGAGTTGCAGTGAGCCAAGATCGCGCCATTGCACTCCAGCCTGGGCAACAGAGTGAGATTCTGTCTCAGAAAAAAAAAAATGAAATCTATAAGACAATTTAGAGAGGATAATCAGAAAGCCACAGCATTCCACACAAATTCAGTAGTTTAGACAAGTGTTTAAAGGGAAAATGCAGGAATTAGGTTACTTCCTTAAAAAAACGTGAATACTTCCAAAAGAGTGTTGGGAAAGAAGTAAAAACTAAAGTATTTCTATTAATTTTTAGGAAATATAAAAAACCATACTGGACTTCCTCTCGCCCATTCAGTTGAAATTTAGAAATAGTAATTCTATAACAGTGCTTGAAATTTTTAAAGTACCATTCCAGAAGCTAAGAACAAATTTAGATACTGAGATACCACCAGCTTTTCATGTAGGCAGCTGTGTTCCAGAACTTGTAGAACTTAGGCACAGATAGCACAAGGTAGCAAAAATAGCTCATATGAAAAAATAGTAGATATGTAATGATACATGAAATTATACTAAATTCTACATTATTGCTATTTTCTTTCCCTCCCATTAGAACATTAATATGTTCTAATTCTATTAATATAAAATATTAATAGAATTAGTTAATGTAACATTAATATATTTTCTCTCTTAATAAAACATTAAGCCCCAGTGACTGGTCATCTTCATTAAATTAGCTGTACCTCCTTACTGCTGCGATGGCTAGCACGGCTACTGCCAACTTAGAAAGGGACAAAAAGTCACGTGGTTGACCTTAATGACAAGAAAAGTCACAGATTCACTTCTAATTTATAATTCTCAGAATTAATGTGCAATTTTGAGTTGTCTCCATTAAATCTCTTGAACAGAATCATCATTTTGCTCCACATTCGGTTTCTGTGTGTTTCCATCCTAATGCCTGAGCAACAGGGTGGTGGTGCTGATTGGAAGCTAACTTGCATTCTCCGTGAGGAACACTGGAAGGGCAGAGCAGGCCACCAGGATCCTGTTTTCATGCAGCTCCTAAATATTGTGGGAACCAGTGATGGGTCTTTGGCAATTGTGGGCAGCCGCCCGGGCTACAAGAATAGGGAGCTTGAACAAAGGTGGAGATGTCCTGAAGCTGGAGAGAGGCTCAAACTACTTAAACTTTCTGCAACATCGGCATCTGATAATCTGAGTGAGTGACCCTCAAATGCATTCTAATCCAGTCCTTGCGTAATTTACACTATATTCCTTTTGAATGCTTAAAGAACGGGGCCTCCTGCAGAACAGCCATCAAGGTTGCCCTGAGGAGCACGTACTCAACCCGAAGGAAGCCCTCTGGCTCCTTCCAGTACAGTGAAGCAGAGGTGCAGGGAACAGCTGGACAGACAGAACCGCAGGAGCAAGGAAGTCCCAGGAGCCCCAGGGAGCACACTGGAGCAATAGGGACACCGCTTCAGATGAGAAAGAGGTGGCCACTGGCAACAGAAAACTGGGGTACCAGCTAAAGAGAAATGGGAGACACTGAGGCCCCTTTAGAAAGGAGAGGGGTTTGGGAGACTAGCACTCTAGTGATAAAACGGGGGAAGCTCAGAAGTAAATGGCATTTTAATAGTCCCCCAAGCCCCTGACTGTCCCCCTGATTGATCTGGTCTTGGATAACAAGGGTTAATTCTCACTTTGTGCTTTCATAGCACCCTCTACAAATGTGGCTGAGGGTGGGTGACTATGGGATAGCAGAAAGACCTACAGAAGGTAGTTTTGTTTTGTTTTGTTTTTTTACCAAAATAAGGCCTAAAAATGGACACTATTCACTTTGATCTCTATCTTCAGAAGCTACAAGAGTGTAAAAAACCTGAAACCACTATTTCTCAATATGCTGTCCCTAGATGAAATGTTCTCATTTTTGTGTTATACTGAAAGATATATATTGCAAAAGAATGCAACTTTATCTGACTATACATATGAACAAGCAGTGTATTCCAAGGTTATCCTGCTTCCAAAACTAGGAAGATGTAAAGTAGAAGAAAGACAAAGCACAATGTTTCACTCTTAAAGCTGTTAAGTTACCCTGTCTTTGATAAACATGCTTGAAAGCCATGCTTTCATAGCTCTTAATTAACATCTAAAAATATCTTTCTTCCCTCCTGCCTTCTGAAGGACTGTCAACGCTCCTGGGTTCTTGTCCCAGACAGGCAGCATTTTCCTACATCAGGGTGATGAATATGTAGGAGAATGTGTGCCTCAGTATCCTAAGACCCTACTTATACCAAATAAATATAATTTTAACAGCATACCTCATCAGACTGCCAAAGTATTAACCAGATTTTAATTTCTAAACATTTCTTAGCATGCATTTTAAATGGACACATTTTTAACATTATCTTTCTGCATTAGGTTAATGTAATGATCTCTAATTTTTTGCCTAGTCTAACCTTCTAAAAAATGATTTAAGTCAGGGACAATCACAAGATGAGACTCAGAACTTATGAAGCCTGAGACATATTTTCTGAAGTAATAATGGAGGGACACCCCCTGGCTAAGTTTCTTAAAACAACAATATCCAGAAAAGGTAGATTTGGAGTATATTTTATTCTTACAACAATGGCTCACAACAAAACCAATATAACCTGGCAACTCTAAGGAAACACATTTTGTGTAATCAAAGTTAAAAAGCAACATCAATGCATGTAGCTTTCTTTAATTAGATTCAAAGTCTGAATCTCTCTCTCTCTCTCTCTCTTTCTCAGATCCCTGCCTGAATCAGCAGTAGAAACAACCATCATTAGGACTCTTGTTTACTCTGGAAGAACTGATAAGGTTAAAAAAAAAAAAAAAAAAAAAGTCAACTGGCTATCTCAAACACATGCCTGACAGGCCAAACAGTCACAAGAGTGCACTTATTTAATCAAGCAGGAAACTGAAGTCATGGCTATTTGTACCTGATGTTCAGCCATCTGGCTTTCTGGACTCCTGCCGGGCTCTGGGCTCTCACTGAGTTTCAGCTCAATGGCCTCCATCTTCGTAGAGATGGACTGGAGGGAGTCCTGGTACTTCTGCTGGCGTTCCAAAGCTTCATAGAGTGTGCGCTGCTTCTCACTGATCTACACCAGAAAAGGGATGTTACCAAATACTTCCCAGGCCCTTATCTTTCAGATTACAACATTTCTTTCTTCAGTGCTTTACCTCTGTGGCCCAGCATAGGGTACTCAGCTGTGGACTGGATGTGTAAACTCTCTGCATGTGTTTCTTAAGACAATCGCTAAGTTTACTGGTGTCTGGAGGGCATAACCAAGTCCACCTTGAAGACTTACCACATTCTTTAAGGTTTCCCAAGAACGCTGCAAATCACCCAGTTTGGCAGTAGCAGATGGCTCCAATCCTGGTTCATACAACTCCTGGGACGCTGATGTGCTGGGGTGAATCTTTGCGGCATCTGTCTGCAACCTCTCAGCAGACAAGGCTTGGTAATATGCAATGTCCTGTGAGTGCAAAGCACAGTGCTGAATTAAACAAGAAGAAAAGTCTAGATTAATATGCTCTGGGTACTGTTGGTCATGTCAAGGAAAGATTTCAGATCTACACCTTTTATGGAGCACTACAAACTAGTAAATTAGTAAACTCTTGTGACTAGAAAAGTTTAAAGACTGTATCGAAGCACACTATAATTGTTTCAGAATTTTTGTTTATATACATCAAAAAACAACTTTACCAATATTTCAAGCTGCCAAAACTCATTCTTATTCTATGTTTGTTAAATGGAAATACGAAGGATTTAAGCAGTACACATGTATTTAAAGATTGATTACAATAGCAAAAAAAGGGAATCCTAATGATCTAGTTCCTAAAATGTTGCCAAATGTATTCATTAAAGTTTTAAATAATTTTAAAAACTACTTGACTTAAATAAAATTAAATCTACAGATGCAGCCAGATCTTCACTATTTGTGGGTTCATTATTTGCAGAATTAATTTAAATATTTTGATATTAAATAAGAAAAATATAATGGGGAAGTTACAACTACTCTAAGAAACAAATAATATAAAGGTTTTCTTCTATTCATTTCCTCAAAGTATACACACACACAAAATCAAAGTGAATGATGAAATATCATGCTTTCAAATTTTTTAAATCTATTGTGTTATAAGTAACATTACATATTTTATTTGTATTGATAAAATGTACTATATCAAGAGATATAGTAAAGATATATCAAGAGACATAGTAAAGATGGTTTTCAATTGTTTCTATGGTTATTTATCTGTATTTCAGTAGAAATTTAATTGGGGGAGTAATTGCTATTATAAAGTTCATTGTTTTTGCAGTTGGACTGTTGAAGGGAATTATGTCAGCTTAAAATACCTGAGTCTTATTGATAATCATGTATTAGTAAAAAGTATTGAAGAAGGCTCCAGCCATCTGAGAAACAAATGTAGCAGTGTCATGCAGTAGAATGAATTCAGACTGGGACAGCTGAGATTCTAGTGAAATTCTCCTCTAGTGTAGCTATATAATTGGAGCAAATAACTTACATCGTGCACACTGGTTCACTCACTGGTCCAACCTTGGGTGGGACTGAGGATTACATGAAATAATATTTGAGTGACTATGACAGCTTCTATCCATTTTGTTGTTGTTCCTGAGGTCTCCAGATGAGTCCCCAACATTTATTGATGACATTGGAATATGAAGACTGCTTCCTCTTCATTCCTAACCCTGTCACTGTCTTGAGTGGATTACTCCTCATGTCCTTAATAGGTTTAGATCCATTGATCCTCACTCACTCCCACCCCACTTCAGTCCTCCACACCCTTGTATGCTGTCATCACTCAACTGGACTTGCAGTTATGTCTAAAGTTACTTAAACCCCTTTCTTGCCAAGACTCTTGTTTCTCTTGCTCTTTTAACCTTTACTTCATCCACTTGGAAAACCGCAAACATGACTCAATCCAGCTTTTCTTTCCAGGGTGCATATATGCATGTGTCTTATTGACACACACACACA